TAATACGTACATTTACGTCGTTTAAGGTCCACACGTCTCCATAGTTTCAATATAGAAGGGGCGGGAATTAGCGAAAACGATTTCCATATACTCTATAAATGAAATAATTCAGTTACTGAGAATACTCACCGAAATCATCGACTCCCAAGCATTCGATCCATTCATCGAGTGTGATGACATCATCGCCTTTGTCGCACATTTTGAAAAAGTTGTCAGCACAGTGCTCAAGGGGCATCAGTGCGTAGCGGAATTCTCTCAGATCTCGACGATCCAGTTTGTCATCGCCGTCTTTTCTGTTTAAGAGTTCGAATTTCCACTGCATAAAAAAGAAACGTTCATCATTTTTTTTAATTGTATGGTAGTCCGTTATTAACGATTGTTTTAACATAGGCCTATTAAAAAATATTTAGAAAATTGATTTTGATTATTTCATGGTATATAGTGGTTGTCATTTACCTCAGCAAGCTCAATTCTCTGTTGGACTGGAATATTGCGGACGTGGTTATTGGGATTGATCTGTCCAAATTCATCAACTTCTCTCAGATGGAGGAACCACTCCAAAAGGCGATGTGGGAAGTCCTCAAGCTCAGACTGAGTACATGGTGTTGTCTTTGCTGTTGATGAAACATACATTTTCAGATTCTGATGGCGTGCCTTGCCATATACTGTACCATAAAGCTAATAGTGCATGGGTCTATAGCCTTAATCCCTGTCAAGATTTTCAAATTTTATATGACAAAACACGTGACATTACTAAATATGGTAATGACGACATCACATCACATTGACCATATAGGCACTTTCTGACTATATATGGGCATACACTAGTATTTTGTCAGAGAAAATTTTATAAAATCTTGACAGAGATTTACCATCAGTTTACAGAATAACTTTAAATGAGATGAGACAGATTTCACTGATTTACAAAGAAAATTGAATGTATTAGGCCTACTAGCCAATTATTAATTATGCAAATGAATGCTTCTTAATTTTTTCTTCCGTGGGTTTTTTTTTTTTTTTTTTTTTTTTAAGATGGAGAAACACATATAATAGATTTAATTAAATGTTTTACTAACCGACACATTCGCCGAAAAACGCCAAAGGAATGGCTCTCTTCTTCTGGCAAGCAGTCTTATGCAGAAGACATAGGTTGTCATACTGCTTTCCATAAACACTGCACACAGGAGCGACTTCAGAGGGGCACTCATCGGGACAGACACAAGATGGCTTCAACTTTTTTCCCTTCTCGACTACCTCACACATCGAACCAACCGGGGATTTGCATTTATAACCGTAACACGGATCTGGAAATTAAACATTTCAAAATACTGCAACTTAAAAAAAAGACCATTTTACAAAATGCAAGGCAAATATCCTAAATTACTTTTATTTGTTAACGCTATACTGACCATTAATATGCTGAATAAACTTGAATATTAATACGTTATTAATTTTCAACTGAAAATTAGAACATAAAGTATAGTTCCTGGCCATTTAACAGATGAGTATAAATATTCCTTCAGACCTCTGGCGCGCATCTAGACTTGATAAATGGTAAAATGAAGATGTGAGAAGGCATCGAAGTTTAAAGATGAAAGAAGAAAAGAGCAAAGTCAAACAAAAGATGGAGTGATCATTTCCAGAAAGTAAACTAGAGTAAGTAAAGTGGAGTAAACTGGACAAACCTGGCAAAGAATAGGCCAGAATTGAGTTTGAGAAGGACATCTGCCAGTGGTCTGACAGGCTGAAGAGGATGATCATGGTAGAAAAGACTTTTGTAGTCGGTACTTTGTTGAAAGATAGTAGTGCTTACGTGATTCTTTTAAATGAAAATGAACAAAGAGACAGGTGTTGATCATGGCCGTCCTTAACACCTTTTCAACTCAAAAACAAGAGTAATGAAGAAGAGAAAAGTAATAAAATATAGATATTAGAGATAGCGGCATATTTCGTCGCTGTGAAGTAAACACATAGCTCATCATAATTCTGAGTAACGAAGGTAGTAGGTTGAAACATTACAAAAAGTAAGGAAGTCATATACTACCTATGTCTAAAATTTACATTTTTTTAATTAACAGGCATATAAAGAATTCGACGTATCTGCCCTAATTTGGTAATAATGTGTATGCCTACCATCTGGTCAAAACACAATCATCGTAAGATACGGTATCGTGTGAAGGTAAATAATGTTTGATTTTCAAAACATTAAAACAAAATTACAAGCATTTTTTATTATTCATACTTTCTCAATGAAATCAAGGTTGTATAACCAGAATTAGATTCCATCCTGCCAATTGGGTTAGATCATGTGACCCATTGGTCCGCGTCTCCCGGTGAGAGTTGTCAAAAGTAAATGCAACATTACTCTACCGCACAGCAGTACTCGTCTGACCTAATCGATGGATACCAGTCACACTATAATAGAGCCTGAATCCAAATCAAATTAGCTTCAGCAAATAACCAAGCCCAAGAAGAAAAAAACCCTGGGTAGCGCAATTATATTTACAACTCAGCCTTAAATTCCTATTCATAGTCGTCATCGAAAAGAAAATACAATCGTGGCAAAAATGAAATTAAATAATGTGGATGATTGATTTATGAAATTAATGTGTTTTTTTTAATTGGTACTGGAGAGATGGTGCGATAAATGTGGCAAGGGCGTCGATCCGTTGTGGAAAGTGAGGAGAGGGGGACGAATTGCGAAATCAGGAAGTCTTGGACCCAAGCTTTGGCTGGGAACAAGGGGAAGCCTAGGGCCCCCGGGTGGGGGTCCAGTGGCGGAAACACAAAAAAAATCCCTGGCGTCTACAGCCTTTTATAAGTAGTATCTAATTAATTTTAAGGAATGCAATTAACATTTACTTCCATACTACATTTTCAAAATACAGTGGCGGATCCAGGAATTCAAAATAGAGGGCCCCGGGAGGGACTTTTACAGAAGGAGTGTAGAGCACCTCAGCCCCACCATGATTGGGGCAGGGAGGTTAAGAAAATGTATGATTATGGAACATCTAGTAGGCCAGAAATGGCACTCTCAGTCTTAAATTTGAATATAACTATTAGAAAGGGCGAGCCGACTGGGCCTCCTTGAATCGGTCACTGAAATACTCATTATCAAAAAGTTTTTCAATTTATCCTGGTAATCATAACCATTTCCGTTTATACATTTCTTGCAAACTAACATTCATAAAAATATTATATTATATTATTATCTACTGATTAGCTTATATTCGAACCATGAAAAACAAATAAGATAAACCATGTTCCTCCATGGATAAACTTAAAACAGTCACTCTAATCCCCTATGTCCCTTTGCATGTACAATACAGTACTTTTAAATTCAATATGTTTACCTTTTCTCCTCTTTTTGAATATTACTTTTGTGGAAGTAGTATTGCAACTACACTATTGTGAGTGGAAATACTACCTTCTAACTACGATCAAACAGGACTATGAGATAGGAAGCACACAATTAAAACATAATTTAGTTAGCATTTTTATTCCACAAACATAAAGGAGATTTACTTAATTTATCATTATCATGGCGTCATGGCGAGATTGCGTCAACGTAACATCAGAGTTCGTAAACTTGTGATATCAGTACTTAAATAAGTCGAAATAGATAGACCTCCATATGTCAAAGGCTGTATAGGTAATTATTGTTAAACAACGGCTATAAAAAATTCAATTAACTAAATATAATTTTTGGAAATTAGGAAAAACAGGGATCTATGTATCCAGACTAGTATATACAGTATAATTTACAAAAGGAACAAATCATATGTTGGCCTATGTTTACACGCTTTCAATTTTAACAACGTACAGTACATTGTTCTCATAATAAATTTAGCCTCTGATAACCGTTGCACCTATAAAATCGATGTGTGGTTACTGAGATGTTTACGAAATGTGCGAACATTTGCGATTTTACTTGGTTCTCGAAATACGCACCGGACTTGGAACAGAGCACAAGTTAAGTGAACAGACAAAATTCATGACAGTTATGCGTAATTGTTGTTGTTCTTTCCACTCGTGTTGAAAAGTGGGGTTTTAACTATAGAAGATTGGTGAACAGAGAGGGGATAAATGATACGATGTTCCCCTGTCCCCTACCGATCGACGCCCATGACTGTGGGCTAACTCCGAGACACAATAAACTGTATTGTTTGTCTCAAAAGAATTCCACTCAAAGTAGGCCCGATTGTATCTACAGTATTATTAATAATAACAATTATCCTATACATGAAATATTTACTGGGTGCACTGAAATTCTCAAACCGACTTTTGCAGCCGATAAAAGTTAATGCTGCCGTTAATCTAGACCGACTGCACTTTAAAAAAATACACAACGCTGAATTCAGAGCTGGCGACCGTTGAAACATAAACGAAGATATTACAACACACAACAATCATTAAATTAAAAGACAGTGAAAAAAGTATACCGTATGAAAGTCAGGCAAATAAGGGTTTAACAAAAGAGTTTAGAGGATTTGAGAAATCGTTAGAAGTAGTCGATGTGAAGTATATCCGGCGTAACGACAAGAAGAGCCATTGATATGAATTCCTTAAACTTTCTTCCGTAAAACTACTACCGGTAGGCCCTACTTGACGATGTAGTCAATGTAAATGAGGAATTCTACATGCCTTTTGTTTGTAGGCATAATGTCCACATTAGTTTAATGATTACAACATTACAACACAACACTCCAAAAAATATGTAATGATAATAAACAAAAAGTGAAAACTTTATTTAAATGCTTAAACGTCGGACTTGGGAGTTGCCACGTCAAAATGATACCTCGGCGGGATATATAAGACGTTGACGGTTGCATTCCAATGGAATGAGTAAGAAGTATTAAAATAGAAATGTCAAATTCAATGAGCAAGGAAATTTTCAGTATGGTTAGAAATAACCTTCATAGATTCTAGAATTTGAGTTACAGACCCTGCGAGTCAAATTGAATCTTGATGGACAGCAATTGAATTAGGCCAAACAGATGGTTTTTTGTAGTTAGCTCAATTGTTACATTCATTTGGTGAACAAAAAGTCGACGCTTTCAAAACTTAAACGCTTTTTGGCTGTAAATGTCATGATTAATGTGTTTCCATTATGAATGTCCTTAAGTAATTGTTTGAATCAGCACAATCTCATCACCTTTTTACGAACTGGGAAACCTTTAAGTTACAGCTCTCCAAAAGAACATAAAATGCATTATAAACAATAGCAGGAGAAATGTCACAAGAAACAAGAAAATCGAATACACTTTTTTGTAAGAACCAGTAAAATTTTGCCGAGGCTGAGTGTTCTTATTTTTGGGCCAATTTCCGGCTTAAAATGTTGTATTTTGTGCTTATTTTACACATTCTTCAAAGATAGAAAATTATAACTGAAGCTGATTACTGTACTGTATTTAAAGAGGGTATTGCATAGGAACCCCTTTTAATCATCAGTATTTTACTGTATGTGACTAGCTTGATTAATTTGGGTTTTTATTTAATGAATTTAATTAATTTTAAATAAAAATGTTATTTGCTTCTTATTTTGTTCTTTATTTTATAATAATTTCAGCCTCAGTGTTCTTATAAACAAAAATGTAGTGCAAATAATCTGTAGCAAGGGATAATAGGTCTAGTTGCATTCATTTATTTATCACATAAAAATAACATTAAATAAAAACAGTTGTGCACCAGGTAGGAATACAGTTCACATATTTTTACCACCTAATCTAAAGTAAACCGACAGACTAAAAAGGAAATATAAAATTAGGTCATAATAATAATAATAATAATAATAATAATAAAAATAATAATAATAATGATTATGATGATAATAATAATAATAATAATAATAATAATAATAATAATAATAATAATAATAATAATAATAATAATAATAATAATAATAATAATAATAATAATAATAATAATAATGAAT